TGCCCCTATCTTCCTGTCATTGTGTCATACGTTAGGCTACCACTGGCAGTGAAAAATGTTTGTTAAAATATTTTAACGAAATTATGCTTGAAAACATTTTCATAAAAGGTCTTGTTGGCTATTTGGAATGGTAACATCGACTTTCTCCTTTTCAGTGGTCAAAATAACGCCACCCAGTTATAGCAGCCGCCACACTCTGGAGTGTTGTTGTTACTGTACGATACTGTTTCTTCTGAACCTACAGCTCCAGGCTGCGTCACTCACATTCAATGATTATCTGATATGAAATATCACTGAACATTCTTAATTTGTTGCAATGCATTTTCTCTACGAACAACTTATGTTGTTTCACTGACAATAGAACATTTTTTAATGAAACAACAAACTGTGAATGCTAGAAATCTGAAATAAAAACACAAATTGCAGAAAAAACTCAGCAGGTCTGGCAGCTCCTGTTGGGAGAAAGCAAAGCTAACATTTCGATCCAGCGACCCCTCTTCAGCAAATTGTTTTCATGTTTTCTGGCACGGGAACTCACACCTATTGAGTTAGACTGTGGTTAAGTTGGCTTGACTTCTGCTGGAAAATGTTTCTTAGGAGAGGTACTGGACGAACTGAGATATAAACTGCAGAGTAACTGAAGAGCTGCCACCAGCTGCTGCAAGTGTTGGATTCAGTGGAAACCCCATTATACTGAACAGTGAAGCTTTCCTGATCAGGAACAGCGCTGGTTTGATTTAAAATAAAAGAAGATCATCATTGTCTCATAAAATATTCTTTGGCGACGATTAATCCTGAGTTAAGTATAATGCAAGTGAGAAGCTCGAATTTCTCTGGGGCGTAACTCCATTAAACCCCACCAGCGACGCCCAAATCCAATGACCAAATATTGTTTTTTATTAAATGCTAAATGCTAAGTTCCGTCTAATATCTATGACAACGACTGAATAGATTTCACAGTCCTCTATTTTTGGAATTCCAACAACGTCCAAAGAACTCAATGTTATTTTTTGCCTCTGAAATGACCTATTCAGAGATGATATTACATACCGCTGTAACAGATTGGAATTGAACTCAGGACCTCTGTCTCAATATCAGGGACACCATCACTGCACGACAAGAGACCAGAGTACAATCAGCTCGAAACTAACTAGGACTAAACAGCCTAGCTGTTTGATAGTTTATAAACCATGTTAATCATTAACACCTTTCAGCAACCAGGTATAGTTACAGAGTGTTTTTACGATGGAAGTATCATTGAACAATTCTCCAAGCGTACTCTAATAGCGCCTCTGAATTATACAAACACTGTAGAAACAATGGAGGAATAAAACCCGGAATTGCATTGTCATAAATTCACTGTTACTGGATTTGAAGCCTGGAACTCCCTTCCTAATAGAATTGTGGATTTTGCTGGACCTGAAGATCCGCTCGAGTCGAAATACACCAAAATCTTTTGAAGTGTAATACGAGTATTGTCATTAACACTAACAGTCCACGATAGGTACTCCAATAATAAGATGAAAAATAATTTCTGATTGTACATTGTGCCACTAAACATGTAAAGGCTAATTCGGGTATGAATAGAATATACAGCATGCTATTTCTTCTGCCTCACTCGATCAAAAAAAAAACTCCCAATGCACATACAGTATTGCGAACAACCGATTTGAAACTCCTGCAGACTGTCTTTCATTTCTGAAGTGTCGTTCTGTGTGTAACAATTTGGTTAGGGCTCTCATTTCTGAGGTGCCTGATCAAATAATATATTTCCAGCGGATACAATTGTTTTTGAAACACCAGATGATATTGAATTATCTGCGATGCAGGAGACTGAACCAGATGATTTACAACGGAAATTGCACAGACAGAAACTGTACAACATTCATGATCCTAGTAGATGCATCTTTTCAATCCGTCAAGTCAAATGTTACAGATTCACTCTAATTTTACTTGGATGATAGAAGCTACCACGAGGTAAATATTAATGCGGCCAGGAATGATTTCGCAATAAACACAAATTACCTACTGTTTCAATAAACTTCATAAGTCATTGCAATAACCAAAATTTATTTTTAGGACATCTCACCAATTTAAACAAAGCTCAGGAGGAAATTCATAATTCTCGAAATTAATTTTATGCCGTGTTCAAAGCCAGTATTGCATTCCATTGTGGAAACACATGTAGGATAAATATTTACTGTCAGCTTTGCTTTGCAGTGCGAGTTATTTTTTTAAGAGCTGCTCTGTCGTGAAGGATAAGTGTTAAAAATATATGAATTGAAAACGTGTTTCTGTCGGGAGTTGCCCAATTTACCTGATGTCTAAATAAATAATCATCACATTTAACTAATGCGAACAATACCCTCCAGATGACTAAATTGCAACAAAACGTCAAATATATTAATTAACGTGAATATTACTCTATTTCATTGTTTGAAATCAACAATGTGTTCGACTACCCTCCAGTTACTGCTTCTGCAAAATTGTAAACTCTGTATATGTCCGACTGCTTTGATATATAATGCACTGCGTGCATTTACAACAATATTCTGATGATGAGATCGTGCGTGGATAATTTAAATTAATTTAAACTCTAACCTTGGTCACATAACCCACCAAATCAGTTGTTTCTGAATGAGTTACGATTGAGTCGATATGCTGTTATAAAATGTAACTGTATACTTAAACCACATGCTCTGGGAAAACAGAAAGCACTGTTGGATTAAATCATTCAGTTAGAGTTTTATTTTTATTCTGGCAAATCTACTTTAAACAGGGATATAATAATTAATTAATTCAAGTTGCTGAATCGATGGTCAATGCAGTGAAATTGATCGACTCTTCATCGAAATATTTCAGGCATAATTGCTAAAGAGTCTTCGTCACTTATTTTTTCCAGCCAGAAAACTTTTCTGCAGTGTATGGCGGAATTGAAAAGTAATTTTTGATGAAAAATTTCACTGTAATGGTGTTTTTGCTCAATATCAAGAATTCTAAAATATTATAGTTTTGAAATTCTGTTTATACTTTTTTGTGACTTGCAAATTGTTCAATGATAGATCTTGTGATTGAAACAGATAATTGATTGCAAGGCATGAATCAGGTTAATCTGCAATTATTATTTTTAAGTAAAAATCGTGCCCTAAGGTCACTGTTTTCCCTTAATTTCCAATACCTTTGCGGTCTGCCTTTCGCCCAATATTAGGCATTAGGAAATTGCAACTTGCATGCTGTTTGAATTCAATGAGGAAAATGGAGAGATTCACTGTCAACAGCTGTGTTAACAATGCAAAAGCAATGTAGAAACCAGAAACCCATTCATAAATATTACAAAAATAATACCGCCCAAGCATATTCGCTTCCAAATAGAACAAAGATCACCGACTCACAACACTGAGGAACAACGACATGTTTGCAATACAACTGGCACTGCAAGCATTTTAGACAGCATCAAAATGTAACATCGCAAAAAAAGGTCTCAAATTGGAATCCAACAACACTGCTCACCATCAAACAAGCTAATTATTAAATTATATAGAAATACAAAGTCATAGCAGCAACCTTGTTTGTAAGGTGACTTATTTAAAAGCATATAAAGCTTAGCACGTTTGTAGCAACAATCCAACGTATTTATGTTTACCTTTCCTGTTTATGGAAATTTTGTACAGTGCACAGTAAAGCATTTAGAGGTATATCTTGATTAACCACTTTAAAGTCAAAACAAAATTAGTTCAATTGACAAATATTACCACATTATAATTGTACATTATAATAATTTTAGTCTCAAATATGAAATTTGACCAATTAGGCAGTTTGAGATTTTAGTGACAAATTGTATTTTGAATGTGGCTAGTAAACACAGACTTTACTTAGTTCAAAACTAAAACAGATATTTTAATAAATGAATGCACGAAAATGTCGCTTTCTTCTCATTCCTCAAATGTTCCGTGTTTCTGCCTTAAGTGGGTTTTCAGATAGTTACAAACAGATATAATATTTTCAATCAATCAAAATTAAAATGTCATCACAAGAGTTGAAAAAAAATGCAAAAACGACGCGGAAAAAGCAAACAACTTGACAAATATTAGCAACTAAAAGTATTCCAGATGGACAATCTCCTCAACAGAGAAAAAAAAACAGAAAACTCCAATTGCAGAAAACATGAAACCCGTTGAAATGTAGTTCAATTCCACAAATCGAATGAGAACCCAATCAATTCAATTCAACATAATCAAGTAAAACAAAATCATCATCAAATCAACTCAAAGCAACAGATTCAAATGACATTGAATCAGAATCAAATCAACTCAATTCAACAGAATCAAGTAAAAAAAAGTCAGAATCCAAACAACTCAATTCAACAGAATCAGGTAAAACAAATTCCGAATCCAATTAGCTCAGATCAAAAGGGTGAAATCAATGAGAATCAAAAACCGAACAACTCAAATCAACAGATTGAGATGCAGCACCACAAGAAAATTTGAAGACAGAAGTTAAAATGCTTGTCATCAAAAAAATTATCAAACTAAATCACAAAATGCAAACATGGTAAGAACATTACGAGCAGGTGAAATATATTCAAGAAATTAGTAATGATATTTTAGCATATTTTGCCAAAATTTGGCAATATTTTGAACATCTTTAAATTCTTAACGTTTCTTGTCTATACTAAAACTCGCAGAAATGGGGTGTCACAGATATTAAACAATGTTTATTCATCATAATTCTAAGAGATTTTAGGTGTTTCAAGGAATCCAGACACGTAGTATGCCCATATGGGAAAAAAAAGAGAGAAATACCGAGCAGCTGAATCCCTCAGCAGCACTTAATTCATTTGCTGAGACTTAAACGAGGGTTATAATCACTTTGCAGAAAAATCAATTCTAACCAAACTAAACTCAGCACAGAATTTGAGTTTCATTGAACTCATGAATTACTCACACCAATAGATAATTAAAATAAAGATACCGGTTGCTCAGAATGTTTAATTTTCTTACCTGTAGTCACGGTCGCTATGGTTCCTTGTCCCCAGTACTCGAAGTCTGTCACAGTGAAACACATTATATCAAATACCATGGCCGACTGCAAACTGTAAAATGCAGATACTTAATTTCATCGCTTCCTTGAAGACAATGATTCCGAATCCTCTCATGATGGCTCAATGCAATATTTCGCCTTTTACTCGTCATTGTATTTTTAAAGCTGCTTGGAGGATATTTTAAACTTTGGTGAATGGCTAACTTGGCCGTCAACACGAAGCAAGTACAAGAATTTTTATACATTTGAAGAAACTAGTACCACTGGACTGCATTTTAATTAACCCTCACATTACATTTTGCTCCTACTTTGGCAGCTATCGCCAAACCGATCTAAACAGTTGTCAATGGTTTTTGCATGAGGATGTAGCTGTGCACATCACTGTGACCCACTGTAGTATCACAGTGATATACACCCGCAAAGAAGCTGCAGTTATTCTTTGTTCTATATTCTGTCTCAATTTTCATGTGAAGTACACATTTAGTACTGATCATGTTTAGAATTAATGGTATAGGTTATACAACAAAATTGACAGAGATTCCCGAGCTGCCAGATACATTAAAATTAACATTATGTCCAAGCCTTTAGTTTATGTAAATTTTAGCAGTACATACAACCAGCCCAAATCATTACCCTATTATATTGGCTGGTTTGTTAATTTTAATGGTACATTTCCTCTGTGATAGTTTTGTAAGAAGCAGTTTGTGGTCTCTTTCACATTATTGTTCCGAATATCCCATTGAAAATAAGTACTGACCATCAGTTTACGATGGAATTTACAACGTATCCCCTCGAAGTCTATTTGTACGGGTCCAGCCGTTGTTCGTCGCAGAGTGATCTCTTGCACAGTAATAGATGGCGGTGTCGTCGATCTTCAGGCTCTTCATTTCCAATGCGAAGATGTTTTTTGAAGTGTCTTTGGATGCAGTAAATCGATCTTTAATCGCTGGCGCATAGTTATTGCTCGATGAAGTATAGTAGTAAACTATCCACTCCAGCCCCTGTACAGGAACTTGTCGGATCCAATGCATGTAGGATCTGCCAAGATCGAAACCGCTGGTTTTACAGGTCAGTCTTAGGGAGCCTCCGGCTCGGCCGGTCTCTGCCTCTGGTTGAAGCAAAGTAATCTCCGACTGGACACCTTCAAAAAGAAAACAAAGAAACAAAAAAAACAAAAAAAAAAAAAAACCCTTGTTACTGACGAAATGAATCCTGAGCCTTTTATATTCCAGAGGTAGACTAACCGTTAGATAGTAATATATAGAGACTGGGAAAGAATTACTTACAGGGTAATAAAGCCAGCAACAAACTGAGAAAAATTGTCGACGTCATCATTCTGGTGACTTGTGGATAACTGTTCAGTCAAGATCTTTCTAACCAAACCAGATCCAGGAGTGTTGAATCACGGTCCAGTGACCAGAATTTATATGCTCATCAGAAAGGGCAGGCGTACAAGTTACGCCTGTTGGTTTCCTGCTGGAGGCTGTGACTGTATCTTTGTCCCACCTCCAACAGCTCTAACGAATTGGCACATATATTTCCACGAGCTTATTCTTGAACAAGGACATCTATCCGTCTTGGGATATTTGTTTTGCTGAATAGTCTATTTGGAAGTGTTGCCATATTTTTAATGTTGAAAATAAAATTGAACAGCTCAAGGTCTGGTTCAGATGATAATTTTCAACATTTTACATAAAACAATAAAAAAATGAAAATTTACTACCTTGATTTCGACATTCATTCACAAGCAGATATAAGTAAAAGTATGTTCAATAATATTATCAGCCAATAAAATTACTGACCATTTTTGAAGACACTGCAAGTCTCTGTCACACAACGAAATAGCAAAAAATTCGCAATTTTCTTTTTCGAATTTCAATTTGGTCTTATGTCGCGAAACCGTTTGGCCCCACAGATAAGAATAATCTCCTTACATTGAAGAAAGTTACTCCTGGCAACTTTTTTTCCATTTGCTCCGACCCTAACACAGTCATTTGAAAGTGCAGAGCAGAGGAAGATTGTTTGACAGATCAATAAGCAGTGAACTGACAGTGAAACATTGCACTCAGATATACTTTTGAGAGAGAGTCGAATGAACTAGAACAGGCCAGTCGGTAAATGAAACAAAAAAAAACCTCAGCTACCAAATCATTGCAGGTAACTGTGTGGGTGCTTTTGGAGCGTGTGGTAAGTTACAGAGTATTACAGCACTGAGTGGCAATGATGCAGGTCATAAACAGGTCATTTCTCTGCTCATTGGTCGCTATGACAACGACCGTTAAATAATGGAAGTCAGCAGAAATTAAACGTTACACTACACCAGTGCGAGCCATGCATCAACGGCCTACTGAATCTAAGTGAGATGCATTAATCATTAGACATTGGTTGTACAAGCTATGGGAGTTTGAGCCAATTGAATTTTGTAAATTTGACATGATAACACATGGAACTGCAATGCAGGTTCGAATGCATTAACTTTGTATTCTCGAGCTTTAAAAAGACTTAATAAACAGGTTTAACTATCTGGAAAGACCTTTGTGTGGAAATGACGGAATACCTCTTCGACCTGTTTGTTTCCTCTCCACCTATCCTCTCCTCTATCCCTCTTCTATCTGCCTCCCACTCTTAACCACCCAGTGATGCACACTTCAAAGATTTCTGATCCTGAACCATTATGTCTCATTGCTCCATTAAACTCCGCCTGCCACTCCTCAACCCATTGACCCAACTGATCACAATCCTTTTGTAATCTTGTATAACGTTCTTCACTGTCCATTATACTACCAATTTTGGTATCAATCCTAAACGTACTAACCATACCTTTCATTTTCCTATTTAAATCTTTTACATAAATGGTCAGCAAAAGTGGACCCAGCACGAATCCCCGTGTAACATTGATGGTAACAGGCACCTGGTCTGTAAACGAACTCTCAGCCACCATGCTCTTTCTCCTGCATTTAAACCAATTGTGTCCCTTTTTTTTTAGCAAACTCACCTTGAATCCCGTGTGATCGAGATAGATAGATGGCTATGTAAATAAGTAGATTGTTAGATAGGTAGATAGGAAGAAAGAATTTGGGACAGACAGACGGTTGGACAGGAGACAGAAAGAAATAATGAATGGATTCATGAATGGATATATGGAATGATTCATGGATGATTTGTTGAGTCTGAAAAACAAATGCTCTTTGAAATTCTAATTTTTATGTTTTCCAGCTTCTTTACTTGAGACAAGTCCATTGATATATTGGTGTTAACCTGTCAACTTCGGCCCTTCCCGAAATGTTTTGTAATTAAAATACCTCACAGATTAGGAATTGACAAGTTGAATTTCATCAACTGTAATTTGAATATCCCACGATGGTACTTATGATCGTTCTCTACTGATTGCATATCTTCATCTCAGAGATAGAAAAATGGGACATGCCTGGATTCAGGAGGAATGATATCAACGTTTGGAAAATGTGGCCTCATCATATAGAACAGAACATTCAGCATTTCCTCACCCAGTTACTCGAGTCAGAGCAAAGGTCGTGCAGAATATTGGACCAATGCCTGTTACACATGTTCGTTAAAGCGTAACTGATTTATGATATTGTGACATGAGAGTAATCTAACTGCCCCTTTTTGTAGGTTTGCCCTTCTGTTGTGAGATTTGTTGAGCATGGTGAGACTCGTAGTGTAATGGGGAATGCCTCCTGAAATGCATCATTCGGAGAACAATGAGGAATAACTTGTTATGCAGGTGTCTATTTTATTTTCATTCAGAACGAACATTCTTTTTGAAGTTTCATGATAAAGAAAACAACATTGATGAGTAATTTCTGAAGCGTTTTTGGTTGACAGCTGCAAATGATCAATACCAGTTGCTCCTCCTCATTTTGTGGTTCTGTCCAACATCCGAAGATAGTTAAAACAATGTGTACTCAGATTTAGTCTTTCCTCAAAGTGCAACTATCAGCAGTAACTGTTTCGGCATCAATGGACGTTGCAGGGAATTATGAGCGAAGACACAAATTCAGTCTATCAATGTTCCAAACTCCATCATATTACAAAGCATTTGCATTTTCTCCATATCTTCACTATTCCTTCTTTTCAATAAGAAATTAGATTTTCCTTGAACATGCGCTGTTTCAGTTTATTCAGAGTTCCACTGCCCTCAATTTTCGAAAACTATTCGTTGCTTGTAACTGATAATTAGCTTCCACTTGAATGGGTGATTGCTGTGATTATCATCACTTCAAATTTATTGGTTCGTCGCAATCCAGTTTTAATCTCCAATCCATGATCTGATATAAAAAAAATCTTTTGTTAAAGATGATGTGCAAGATAATGAATTTGAATGACTTTAAAGCTCTTGGTGATCTGTCGTATGTTTTGACTGTTATCGTGCAATTCCCAGAATTATAGAACAAATCCAGAGTCGGTTTCATGTCTGCATTCACAATTAGTGCCTGTGCTAATGGGAAGTATGCACAAGCGCCGTTACTAGGAGACACAGAATCAATCTGGATTATCAATGTATCCACAGCTACAATTCCACTATTGAATGTCTGGAATTTAATTTATTTTTATTTTCATAATGTATGTGTGCAATGACAGCGATTATCTGGTTTCCAACGGTGGTTCCATTCCCTTGTGTTCCCCTGTGGTGTTAAACTGAAGATCCTTCTGCTATCCCATTCCACACATCGCATCTATTGGTACTGTTTCAAAGAATTGAAAGGGAGTTGACCCTGCCATATTGTTCTAGTTATTTTGCTTCAGCCACCATCACAAAAATAAATGACAGTGTCATGATAACATTGCTGATTTATGGGAGGTTGTTGCGCAGACACCCCTGCTGAAATACCTACATTATCATTCTGAATATACTTTACAGATGCATCTATTGCTCCTTAAAACAAGGAGACGACAGGGAAGAGTGAAACTTCTTGTTTGCGATTTTTTTTCTGAAAACCATATTGTCCTCAATTCGTCAAAGAAAGATATATGGTTTCAAATTTCTTAACTCATGTTGCTGATCATGGCTAGTAAAAGTGCTATTGCTGCAGGTATGTCTGGGGAACATGTGAGCATTAATTTACATGGCAATTTACTTTTATAATTAAGTCAAGAATAGTTCGAATGACTCGAGGGACAACGTTTAGCAACGGGCCATTCAGCTCCCCAGGCCTGCACCAACTGTTCGAAATTTAGATCGAGCCCAGCACAAGCAGTGACTGCTCCAACACTTTCCCCGCAATACAGCATTTACAGCACTGGAGATCATATCTGTGTCGACAATGGTTTCGACCGTATACAATTTTCCAACTGTAATGGCTACCCGTTACCTTTGTATTATTTTGCTCACATTTTAAGATGAATTCTCGGGAAAGATGAGACATTCTAACAGCTCCTGATGAAGGAATAGTTAAGGTGATGTCAGTTAAATTTCACGAAAAGAAAGATCAGCAAGGACAGATGGAATAAATTAATAGACACACACTGACATACCCATGAACAAGCACAAACACACTCACACACATGCACACACACACACACAGACATACAGACACAGACACAGAGACACACACACTCAGACAAGCTCACACGTCTAATTGCAGAATAATTAAACACCACATTGCAGTCAGAGTATAAGTAAATTAGGGTGAGTCTCGAAGGATCCAGCTCAGACTGGTGGAAAGTGACAATAAGGAAGTTCTAGCTTGGCTGGAGTTGTTCATGTTGAATCGGTTGAGGAGATTTTTTCTTATGAAGCACACAAATGTTATAGACTAGATTAAATAGAATGGGAAAACCTGTTTAGCTTACAGGAAAGTTAAATAAACAGAGTGCTGAGAAATTAGAGAATAGCAGCAAAGTGATGGGGAATATTGAAGTATTTCATTCCCTGAAAGGATAGTAGAGGCACAAGCTCTCAAATCATTTGAAATATGTTTCGACATGTACCACAAGTGCCATAACCTGCAGTGTTACGGACCATATGCTATAAAGTGGGTGTTGACGAGAAGGCTTTAATTTTAGACGACATGGAGTCGATGGCTGAAGTGATCTCTATTTGTGGTGAAAAATTTCTCCAGCTGTAAAGCGACAACACAGTGTGGAGCTGGATGAATACAACAGGTCAGGCAGCATCAGAGGAGCAGGAAAGCTG